GAGGGGGCAGACGCTCAATGTAGGAGCTGCCCCCTGGTGGTCAGTGCACTTCCACAGGGGGAGCGCCGCTCAGCCAGAAGCTGGGCTCACGGCTGGCAAGCGCAGCAGCGGAGGCAGGAGCCTGTCCCGCCTCCACAGCAGCGTTAACGATGTCCAACTGACGGCTTAGGCCCACTCCCCATGGAATATCCCCTGAGGGCTCCTGGACTGTGAGAGGGCGCAGGCCGGGCTGAGAGGATGCTCCTCCTCCAAGTGCACAAATTTCATGCAGCAGGCCTCTAGCTGTAAATAATACTCCAATGAACATAGGGGTGCAAATGTTTCCCAGAAATGAAATTTGTGGGTCATAAGGCAGTTCCATTTAAAATTTTCTGAGGCAACTCCATACTGCTTTCTACAGTGGATGCACCAATCTACATTCCTACCAACAATGCACAAGGGTTCCCTTTTCTCCACATCTTCGCCACACTTGTTTGTGGATTTATTGATAGCCATTCTGACAAGTGTGAGGTTATATCTTGTGGTTTTCATTTCTCTGATGATTAATGACACTGAGCTTCTTTTCATATGTCTATTGGACATCAGTATGTCCTCTTTGGAGAAGTGTTTATTCAGAACCTTTGCCCATTTTTTAATTGGATTGTTTGGGGGTTTTTTTGATATAGAGTTTTATAAGTTCTTTATAAATTTTAGATATTAATCCCTTATGAGATATATCACTGGCAAATATGTTCTACCATTCAGTGGGTTGTCTTTTCATTTTGTTGATGGTTTCCTTTGCTGTACAAAATCTTTTGTTTGATGTAGTCCCATTTGTTAATTTTTTTTGTTTTTGTTTCCCTTACCTAACGAGATATATCAAAAAAACATAACGTTATGAGAAATGTCTGAGATTTTACTGCCTATGTTTTCTTCCAGGATTTTTTCTGGTTTCATGTCTAACATCCTTTTAAAAATATGTTTTAATTGACTTTTTAAAGAGAGAGGAAGGGAGAAAGATAGGGAGATAGAAACATTGATGAGAGAGAAAAATCAATTGGCCGCCTCCTGCACATGCCCCAGTGGGGATCAAGCCCGCAACCTGGGCGTATGTCCTGACCAGGAATTGAACTGATGACTTCTTGGTTCATGGGTAGATGCTCAATTACTGAGTCATATCAGCCAGGCTAGTCGTTAATAAATTTTATTCTTATGTATGGTGTACGGTGGTCTAGTTTCATTTTTCTGCATGTCCAATATATATGTCCAATTTTTCCAGTACCATGTATTGAATAGACTATTATTTCAGTGTATTTTTTGCCTTTGTTCCATTGACCTTTATGTCTGTTGTTATGCCATGATGTTTGATTACTATGGCCTTGTAGTATAGTTTAATATCAGATAGCATGATTTTTCCAACTTTGTTCTTCTTTCTCAAGATTATTGTGGCCCTGGCTAGTTTGGCTCCTGGATAGAGCATCAGCCTACGAACCGAAGGGTCCCGGGTTCGATTCCAGTCAAGGACATGTGCCCGTGTT